AGTAAAATTAATTATAATATTTTATTTAACCCAATACATCAAAAAACATTATTCCAACATGTAATCAGTATAAAAAATTTTAATGAGATACTTTACATTTCATACTAAGTATATACTTATATTTTACACTCATACTATCAATTGAGATACCAAATTATCGTGAGAAATACTCAATCTGGGGCACCTGGGTGGCTCAGTCAGTTAAGCATTTGACTTCGGCTCAGGTCATGATCTCACAGTTTGTGGGTTTGAGCCCCCTATCAGGCACTGTGCTGACAGCTCAGAGCTTGGAGCCTGCCTCAGAATCTGTGTCTCCCTCTCTCTGTGCCCCTCTCCTGCTTGTGCATGCTCTCTCTCTCTCTCTCTCAAAAATAAACAAACATTAAAAAAAATTAAAAGAAATACTCAATCAGTACTTAAACTTCATAAAATTTGCATTTAAAAGGGTCAGTTCACATACTCAGCTTGTTCCAAATATACTTCAAAAGTGTCCAATAGGGGCGCCTGGGTGGCGCAGTCGGTTAAGCGTCCGACTTCAGCCAGGTCACGATCTCGCGGTCCGGGAGTTCGAGCCCCGCGTCGGGCTCTGGGCTGATGGCTCAGAGCCTGGAGCCTGTTTCCGATTCTGTGTCTCCCTCTCTCTGTGCCCCTCCCCCGTTCATGCCCTGTCTCTCTCTGTCCCAAAAATAAGTAAACGTTGAAAAAAAAAAAAAGTGTCCAATAATTGAATCAATTATCGCATTTTAAAATGTAAATTGTTAAAATTACATAAAATTTAAAATCCAGTTTCTCGGCTGCATTAACCATATAGCCCAAATGCTCAACAACCATATGTGGTTAGAGGCTACCATAATGCAGAACACAGCTCTGGTGAGAGATACAGACACCAACAAGAAAGACAATTAGAGCTAGTATTATGTGGACTCAGAATAATGATGTGCTATTATGAAGAAAATAACCAGAATTATGTGGTAGAAGCAGATCAGAGGTAACAAGTGAGTGGAGTAACTGGTTTAATAGGTAGTGGTAAGCACCGCAGGGATTGGCATGCATGAGCAGGCTAGATGCAAATTCAATTTATTTATTTATTTATTTTAATGTGTTTTTTTTTTTAATGTTTATTTATTTTTAAGAGACAGAGACAGAACATGAGTGGGGGAGGAACAGGGAGAGAGAGGGAGACACAGAATCCAAAGCAGGCTCCAGGCTCTGAGCTGTCAGCACAGAGCCCGATGTGGGGGCTCGAACTCGTGAACCAGGAGATCATGACCTGAGCCAAGGTCAGATGCTTAACTGACTGAGCCACCAGGTACCCATATTCAATTTAATAATACCATCATCTGGATGGAGTGGAGTATAACCTTCAGTAGACAAGAAGGCCTCACTGAAGATGTGACATTTGACTTGGGTCTGAAGAAAAGAAAGGGCCAGCCATGCAACAAAAACTGGAGAAGTTATGTCTGAAAGACAGTTAACGAGGGGCAGTAGTTAATGAGTAGTCAGTAAGGGGGCAGGGACCAGATCATGCAAGGCCTTATAGCCCATGGTGAAAGTACTGCATTTTGTTCCAAGGACAGTGAGGCACCTGATGGCCAAAGAGAAAGCAGGTGGTTTCTAGAGCTAAGAGAGCTCTAGGTTAGGAGTGGCCTCATTATTAATCTTCTTCTTAAGGTGGTGGCAGCAAATCTGTTCCCTGTAAACAAAACAGTCTAATTCATAACAGAAATGAGAAGAGTACTTCTAATTACTAAACACTTCTAATTACTAAAGAGTACTTCTAATTACTGGCCCCAATCATTCTGAGGCCCTTCACATATATTATCTAACTTAATTTTTATAATACCTTATGAAGTTGGAGATGATAACTTCAGTCTCATTTTAGGAATTATACCCAGAGAGGTAAAGCAACCTGTCCAAGGGTTAATAACAGCTAATAAATGGCAGTTGAAGATTTGAACACAGATCAGTCTGATTCCAAATTTCTGCCTTAATACCAGACCTCTAGAGCATTCTAAACACACATCAATACCAAAATGGCATGGCAGCAGTCAGTCCTGCTACAAAGTACATTTCAGGACACAAACAGTAAATATGCTTGATTCAATCTGTTTGTTTCTAGTGTTTTTATTCCAGCTGCTCAATATTGATAATATTGGAAAAAAGGAGGCAGCACCATAATGCATCCTCTGTATTTTACTAGATCATATGCTGAAGGGCAAAAACTGTGTTCCATCTTCTTTTTGTTTGTTTGTTTCAGGCCATTGTAATAAATATGATGGTCACTCAGTAAGCCATGAAAATGTTTGCCCAAGCTTTGGGCCTAGTTGCCTCCCTCCCAACAAGTGATCCAGTTAAACAGACACATGGTATTCTCCTAATCTATAAAAGTTATGCTTTGCTTCCCACCTCTCTAGAAAAGACAAGTCACTAAGTTTGAATCAAAAGCACTTTCCTAAGCATTTGAATACTTCTTAAATTAAAAAAAAACAAAACCTGAAGTACAGAGATGTTTATGTGAGGGAATTTGAGCACATTAATTATTAAATATTTTGAACAAAATAAAGACCTTTGAATATAACCAAAGCCAAATGTGATAGTGCACACAAGGGTGAGAGGAATATCAGAAGCTTTAAAGCAGCAGGGCCCTTTATCTGTACATATTGAAGAGGGTTCTACAACTGGAAGTCTTGGTAAAAATTAGATGGAGGGGTACCTGGGTGGCTCAGTGGGTTAAGCGACCAACTTCTGCTCAGGTCATGATCTCGCAGTCCGTGAGTTCGAGTCCTGGGTCGGGCTCTGTGCTGACAGCTCAGAGCCTGGAGCCTGTTTCAGGTTCTGTGTCTCCCTCTCTCTCCGACCCTCCCCCGTTCATGTTCTGTCTCTCTCTGTCTCAAAAATAAATAAACATTAAAAAAAATTTATAAAAAAAAATTAGATGAAATTTGGTTTTTCGCAGCTTTAGATCTAGGAACTTTCCTAGTTGAGACCCTGCATTTTACAGATGAAGAAGCTGAAGTCCAGAGAAAAGTAATTTCCCTTAAGTTACAGTGCAAGTTATTATCAACAGTGGGATTAAGACGCACGTGTCAAAATTTCTGATGCTTTTTGTTATTTCACATTTCCTCCTTATTCTCTTGGCAATGAATGTGTAAGCACTGGGCTTGGGAATGTTGTGCCCAGTGAATGAGAACACAGGACAAAATTTAAGAGTCCTTGTCCTTCTAGTATACAGGTATGCTGTTTCGAAGGGACACATGCACCCCAATGTTTATAGCAGCACTATCAACAATAACCAAAGTATGGAAAGAGCCCAAATGTCCATCGATGGATGAATGGATAAAGGAGATGTGGTGTGTGTATATATATATATATATATATATACACACACACACACACATATACAACGGAGTATTACTCGGCAATCAAAAAGAATGAAATCTTGCCATTTGCAACTACGTGGATGGAACTGGAGGGTATTATGCTAAGTGAAATTAGCCAGTCAGAGAAAGACAAATATCGTATGACTTCACTCATATGAGGAATTTAAGATACAAAACAGATGAACATAAGGGAAGCAAAAATAACATAAAAACAGGGAGGGACACAAAACATAAGAGACTCTTAAATATGGAGAACAAACAGAAGTTTACTGGAGGGTTTGTGGGAGGGGGGATGGGACTAAATGAGTAAAGGGCATTAAGGAATCTACTCCTGAAATCATTGTTGCACTATATGCTAACTTGGATATAAATTTTAAAAATAAATTAAATGAAAATAAATTTCAAAAAGTCCCTGTCCTTCTAAAAGATGTTACGTTCTAAAAGCGTTCAGGGCACAGATAACGATCTAATGGGAAGCGGTTTAAAGTAAGTGGACTATGCATCCCTAAGGAATCCGTTAGGGTAATCCGACACTTGCATGGAAACTTCTCTTCACGAGTCAAATGGGAAGAATAACTTCTGTACTGCCTACCTTACAGGACTGTCCTGAGGGCCCAAATGAAATACTGAATATTCAAAGTGCTGTGCAAAACTTCCCACGAAATGAGATTATGGGCACTCATATTGCAGATGGAGCCTTTGGTCTCAGAAGCTCAGAGTGCGAGTCAGACTACCGACCCTCAATGACAATCAGTTTTCCCGAGTTGTAAAATGGAGACAAAAAGCAAATGGCTTTCGCTTTGGCTTTGGCTGTGAGGTCCCAGTCTCAAGATGCAGGGCCAAACGTGAACCAAAACGGTTCTTTACTTCCCCAGCCGCGCCTCCTCACCTTCTGCACCTGCTCTGCGAGCGCCACGAGGTCTAAGGGGTCCCCGGCCCGGTGGGTGTGGTAGGGGCTCACTAGGGCCAGGCCTCCGGGGGTCGGGGTGAGCTCCACCAGGGCTCCTGCGACACATACCCAGGAACACAGCCCGTGAGCGCCCGCCCTCGGCCTCCCGCGCAGCCCGGGAGACTAGCTGCTCCGTGAGGGCTTCTTTCCCCGCTCGGACTCCCGCCCTGCGTACCTCCCCGACCTGTAGCCGGCTGAACTCTTTGGTCTGCGGGGACTCCCCCCGACTGCCCCGGCGTCTCGGTGTCCCCCATGACAACAGCCAAACCTCCCTGCGTCCCCAGCCGCGGCGCGAGGCGGAAGAGCATGCGCTTAGAGGCCTGTGGGCGGAGCTTCTGTGTTCCCTGGCCATTGGCCATCAGGGCTGAGGGGCACCGCCTGAGCCCGGAGGCGGGGCTCCAGCTGACGCCCTAGGCCCTGCTGAGGGGCGGGGTGCTGGCTTAGGGAAAGCCAAAAAGGGCAGTGCAACGTTCGTGGGCATGCGCCGCCGGGCTTGGGAGGCGGGGCTCCACTCAGGGAAGGGGCGGGGAGGGGAGGGACGTGGTGGGCGGGGCTCCTCGGGGGTGGGACTCCGGCCTCCGTGGCGGGTGGCAGGCTGTCCCGTTAGGTCTGAGGCGGCAATGGCTGCACGCGCTCTGAGGCTGCTGGCCGCACTGCTGGCGATTGCCGCCGCTGTCTCCCGGGCCGAGGTCGAGTCCGAGACGGGATGGGACATGCCTGCGCCTGATCTGCTCTTCGCGGAGGGGACCGCGGCCTACGCGCGCGGGGACTGGGCTGGGGTGGTCCTGAGCATGGAGCGGGCGCTTCGCTCGAGGGCCGCCCTGCGCTCCCTTCGCCTGCGCTGCCGCACCCGGTGTGCCGCCGACCTCCCGTGGGAGCTGGACCCCGACTCGTCCCCGAGCCTGGCGCAGGCCTCGGGCGCCGCCGCCCTGCACGACCTGCGCTTCTTTGGGGGCCTGCTGCGTCGTGCCGCCTGCCTGCGCCGCTGCCTCGGGCCGCCGGCCGCCCACTCACTTAGCGAGGAGCTGGAGTTGGAGTTCCGCAAGCGGAGCCCTTACAACTACCTGCAGGTCGCCTACTTCAAGGTGCAGACCTGTCCGGCCCTGGGCGGCAGGGATCCTTCTGGGCGTGGTTGCAGATGACCCGGGCGAACCTGGGGGGCCGGGGAAGTATCCGCGGAGAGGGAAGGTGGCCTCCTGGCCGGGGAGCTCTCCTCGGACCCAGGGAGAAGAGGGACCCTGCCGGAAGACCTGCTACGCCAGGTTCGCATAGGCAGATGGTAACCCCAAAGGTCCAGCGTGGGGTTAAGGCACGACCAAGCAAACCTTGGCCTTGTATTCCCCGGGAGGCCTCCTAGAGGGAACTAAAGCGGCAGCTTGGGTCTCTCATCCGGATTTCATTGTAAGTGTCCGAGTGAGAAGCTAGGACCTTTCTACAATATCTTCCTTCCGGTTCGTTGTTCAGTGCTTTTCCTGCCACACGATTACTGCAGCTCTCTTTCAGGACGTGAGTTTGCCACGTCGCCAGTAGGGGCTGTCTAGCCACTAAGGCTGTGGGGGGACCCTCTGGCTATTGTCAGGTTTTCAAAGAAAATGAGTATTTTTAGGAATTCCAGAGTGGCTTAAGACCAAGTGTATACATGGATTTGGAGCGTCCCTGGCTTGCGTGGTGGTGGTGGTGGTGGTGGTGATGATAGCCAGCACATTGTTCCAGACACTATTTTAAGAACTTTGTGTTTATTGATTTATATGCCCAGATCTTGTCAATATCCTGTAAGGTAGGTGCTATTATTAGACGCATTTTATTGGGGGGAAACAAAGAAGGAGGAGCTGTGCTGCATATTTATTATATCCATAGTTTCACAGACCTTCAATTCCACCTAAAGAGAGACTTAAGAGAACTGTGGAGACCAGACTTCCACCTCTCCACAAGCATTTTGCTTACACAATTCTGTTCCCTTCCTCCTTGTTACTTGGGAAAGTACTGTATTTGAAACCAAAATAAGTGGGTCATGTCTTTGGTCGTGTCACTTAACAGCACTTTCTAAAATTCTTTGACAAATGTTTCCTGAATACCTACTACATTCCAGTTGTTGTACAGGTCATTAAAATGCTTAACTTTACATTGTTTTGTTTCCTATCGCTTCCCTATTAAGAATCACTATAGAAGAGGCTAAAAAAGGTATGTACATAGGGCTGTGGGAGCACAAAGGAGGGAGAAACTAGCTTTGTCTCAGAGAAACCAGGGAGACTGAAAGAAGAGTTGACAATTGAAGTCAGTCCTAAATCTCACTAGAGGAGAGGAAGAATGGCCATTCCAGGTAAAGTGAGGCCAGACTCAGAAGAGAATTCTGCAGGCTTCAGGAGCCAGTGTCAGGTTTTAGAATGCTATTTCTGGAAGGTGGAATAAGCCTTGGGAGAAGGAGAAAGAGGTGGCGGGGCTAACCATTAGGAGATGAGTGTGGGTTGTCCACACGAGAGAAGGAAATTAGGTGCCTTGGTGCTTAGTAAAGTAGGACTGGGGGTGGAGAGAGAAGATAAGAGAGAACGAGAAAATGCACGAGCAATGTAGAAAGATAACAGTGGGAGAATAAATCCATAAAGGGGACAGGCATGGGAGAATTTCTAATTGTACAATTAACAAAACAGGTACAGAGATGGCGATTATTGACCCTAGGTTACCTAGCTATTTTAGGGTCAGAGCCAGGGCCAACTCCTTATCTAATGTGCATTTACTAGTTCTGATGGTAAGAGGAAAAGGAAAAAATTTTTAGGATATTGATTATACCAGCTAACATTTATTGAGCGCTTCGTATGTGCCCAGCTCCATGTATTAGAAGCTGCATGTATATCACCTTGTGTAACATTCTCAACAACCCTGTGAGTTAGTGCTATCTGCAGATGACAGATTAGGGAACTGAATTTAGAGAGTAAACTTTAAGTGACTTATCTAAAGCCCCAGCAAGTGACTAATTAAACCTAGCTTTGTCACAGATCTGTCTGACACTTAAGCCCATGTTAATCATTAGATCATCAGTGATTTATTTTAGCTTCTACATAGGAAACTGTGTAACACTGATATGCTTGAGTCCATTGCTATGGGCATTATTGTGGCATGTAGCACAATTTTTTCTCCTCAGGTTTCAATATAACCACTTGTTTTAACCTCATGAGTCCCAGGCTTTGAGTCAGAAGATGCCATGTCTGGATTTTGTATAAGACCTTAGGATTTTTCAGTCACTCATCTTTTCCTTGAACGTGTCAAAAACACTTGATTATATTTTATGCAAAAAAAAGAAAAGTATCTTCTAGGGAAATCCTTAGACACGGCGTCGTTGTTAACTGTTCTTTCTCCGCTACTACTAAATTCTTGAAGCGTTACACATTTTTCAGCTCAGTTGCCACATCTGAATCTTGAGAATATATTATTTGGGCAGTCAATCTTCCATAGCATTCCCCCCACAATATGACCTTTGTTTAAAAATAGAATGTTTAGCGGTGCCTGGGTGGCTCAGTCGGTTAAGTGTCTGACTTCAGCCCAGGTCATGATCTCGCAGTTCATGGGTTCAGGCCCCGTGTTGGGCTCTGTGCTGACAGCTCAGAGCCTGGAGCCTGCTTTAGATTCTGTGTCTCCCTTTCTCTCTGCCTCTCCCCTGCTTGTTCTCTGTCTCTATCTCTCAAAAATAAGTAAACATTAAACAATATATAGAAATTTAAAAATTTTTTTTAAAAATAAAAATAGAATGTTTACACTATTGAAGGTTTCACCTCCAATGATTTGGGGAACTGCTACGCCTGATTTGAGAAAGGCTAATTCTGCCCAGGGCTCTGTGCTCCTAATTTCTGGTATGTAGTTCCTGTAATAGGTGTGTTTTCTGCGGCTGGCAAGGTCTAGAGCATACTGTTTGAGTGGATGGCTCAGGAAGGCTGGGATTTCCTGTTTACCGTGGACTGTGCATTTGGACACAAACCTTCAGGGCTTGGATGTGAGGATTATGTTCTTGTGCTTTATTCTTAGATAAACAAGCTGGAGAAAGCAGTAGCAGCTGCACATACCTTCTTCGTGGGCAATCCTGAACACATGGAGATGCGGCAGAATCTGGACTATTACCAAACCATGTCTGGGGTGAAGGAGGCTGACTTCAAGGATCTTGAGGCCAAACCCCATATGGTGAAAAAAACTTTGTCCCTTTCTCTCTCTCTATTTTTATTATTTTTAATTTTTTTTTAATGTTTGTTTACTTTTGAGAGACAGAGCATGAACGGGGGAGGGGCAGAGAGAGAGAGGGGGAGACACAGAATCCGAAGCAGGCTCCAGGCTCCAAGCTGTGAGCACAGAGCCCGACGCGGGGCTCGAACCCATGAACCGTGAGATCATGACCTGAGCCGAAGTCGGATGCTTACCTGACGGAGAGCCACCGAGGCACCCCCCTCTCTCTTTTTTTATTAAAGTGACTTTTACTAGGCTTGTTTTCTGATTACAGAAGTAGTAAATGTTCATTGTACAACACTAGAAAAATGCAGATAAGTACAAAGGAGAAAGTAATCATCTATAATACTGCCATCTTAACAAAACCAGTAGTTCAGGGCACCTGGGTGGCTCAGTGGACTAAGCGTCCGACTTTGGCTCAGGTCATGATCTCACAGCTCATGGGTTTGATACCTGTGTCTGGCTCTGTGCTGACAGCTTGGAGCCTGGAGCCTGCTTTGGATTCCGTGTCTCCATTTCTCTCTGCCCGTCCTTGCTCACACTCTTTCTCTCTCTCTCTCTCTCTCTCTGTCTCAAAAATAAATAAACATTAAAAAATTAAAAAAAAAAAAAGAAAACCAGTAGTTCATATTTTAGCCTATTTTTAAAGTCTTCTATATCTTAATTTTTTTTAATGTTTATTTATTTATTTTGAAAGAGAAAGAGAGCACAAGTCAGAGAAGGACAGAAAGAGAGGGAGAGAGAGAATCCCAAGCAGGCTTCACACTGTCAGTACAGAGCCAGATCCAGGACTTGATCCCACAACCCATGAGATCAGGACCTGAGCCAAAACCAAGAGTTGGATGCTTAACCAACTCGGCCCCCAGGCGCCTCCACTATATCTTAATTTTTAAACCTAATTTGGTATCATGTTGTATTTTTCAGAATCCTTTTTGAACTAACACTATATCATGAGGCTTCTCTCATGGCTTCAGATTTTCTTTGAAAATACAATTTTTAATGGTTGCATGACAGTCCATTTTTTGCATAATTGTATTAATCTACCGTGTAGGTTTTTGCTTTCACTACAATAAGTGGTTCAGTGTTCCTTGATGATCTTATTCTATTTGTTTAGCAGAAATCCATGTCCCACAAGAGATATTATCTGTGATGCTAATAGCATTTTGTAAAGAGCTTATGTTCTCTTAAGTTTTAATGGTTTAGAAATAGAGATATTAGAAACAAACAATACCGAAATGACTTTAAAAGTAAATGGTGTGCATCAAATATGTTATACAACTACACACAGTTTGTGTGTGTGTGTGTGTGTGTGTGTGTGTGTGTGTGTGTGTGTCTTAGTGACTCTGTGGCAAATGACAATTGCTGTACAAGAAAATTGCAACGAACTCCCGTGTATCTTTTATCGAGATTGAGTTAAATGCTTTGGAGTGTCCAGAGAAACCTGTGAAGGCCGTTTACGAAAGGCCTCCACTGGGTAGCAGCCACCGTTTTTGCGTCCCTAACCCGAGGCAGGCCATGAGGACGCAGGTGCAGGTGGCCGGGGGTGGGGGTGGGGGCACGAGGGCCGGGGGCTGGGTGCGGCCCGCAGTTGAGTCCCCCCTTCCTCCCAGTAGCACGAGTTCCGGCTGGGAGTGCGGCTCTACTCGGAGGAGCAGCCGCACGAAGCCGTGGCCCACCTGGAGGCGGCGCTGCGAGAGTACTCGGTGGCGGACGCGGAGTGCCGCGCGCTCTGCGAGGGGCCGTACGACTATGACGGCTACAACTACCTGGAGTACAACGCGGACCTCTTCCAGGCCATCGCAGGTGCGCGGCCGCGGGCCTGCCCTCGCCTGCCGCCCGGGGGCTCCCGGGGCCACGGGTTGACGATGCGCACACGGCGTCTTCCGCCTCAATCCCCGCCGTCTGAGGATGGGCCTGAAAGTTCCCTTCGCTTGAACGTGTTCATCTTCACCAGAATTTGAATCCTGAAGGTCGACCTGATGGTTACTACCCCTCTGATTCCTTTCAGATCATTACATCCAGGTCCTCAGCTGTAAGCAGAACTGCGTCACGGAGCTGGCTTCCCACCCAAGCCGAGAGAAGCCCTTTGAAGACTTCCTCCCATCACATTATAATTATCTGCAGTTTGCCTACTATAACAGTAAGACCGACTTTCTTCCTTCTCTGCTGCTTTTCAGTAGAATGCCCAAAGCAAGGTAGGCAGGGACGATGGCCCCTGTGCTGCTTCAACATGTTTGGCTTCTCACTGTGACTCTGGGAGGCACCCAGCCAGGTGACCCCTGGGTGCTTTGCGACAAGGGACTGGCCCCGGGAGCCGAGGCCAGCAACCGGCAAAGCTGAGAGAGGACCTAGGACCTCTCTCCTCGCTTCTATAACATTTATAACCTGATTTCCCATCTGAATTAAGGTAGAGCAAAGGCAAGGGTATATACTACCATTACTGCCGTTTAAAACAGTTCACAGGACATTTTCCAGCCCTTCTCCCTAGGAGAGTGCTGATGCTCCGGGCAGGGGACTGCCAGTATCCAAACAAGCAGCGATGAGCAGATCTTTCCTGAGTTCCTTCTGCGTGCTAAGCATCACCACACACTCAAGAGTATAAACTGTTTCTTTTTCTTTTTTTTTTTT